AAACAGTAGCATTTGGAGGGTAAATTTCGAGTTATTAAGACTTACCGTGGTATTACAATTTTTTTCCCATATTGCCCCTAAATAGTTGAGCCCAAATTAACCTTATATTTATTAATATTTACAAAACACCTAATCACTCATGCTGACACTTTTGTCCTCGCTTTTTAAATTTTTCGGACGACATTGCCCTTGTTATTATCATTATTTACAGAAATGCCTTTATACCCTTAACTAGCCACCACCACTAGCCACCGTCGATCGCCACCGAAGGTTGCCAAAAGTTGTCATAATGGCATACGACCGGCCGTATATGACCGCTCGGGCGTCGGTGAGGCTTTTTCCGACCATGGATTACAGATCTATGGTTGGAAAAAGCCAGATCTATGGCCGTTTCATGGCCAAGCATGTGGCCAAGGTTCAAATTGCCAAGGTTCACAAATTTTTTTGCCTATCAAACTGCCAAGGTTCACAATTTTTTTTGTTAACTGGGGAAAATTATGCCATAGTTCTAGGTAAATCATGGGTTGAGGCTATAGACAATCCTCGTCCTTATCATTGGACTGCCCATTAAACAACTTCTTGCCGAAAAGTTTCAGTCAAGAGTTCTTTTTCCTTGAAATGGTGTATGGTGATAACAATAAGCAAATATGTTGATCAGAATATACATGGACCTCAGAGAGAGGCTATTGGTTTGGTCTTACCAGCCTGGTAATGTAAACCCAATTTCGCCCTTCATCTTTTGTGTGGACTTCTTTTTGGGTTGGGGACTATAAGATTGTAATGGATTCATTAGCTGTAAGCTGTTCACAGCAATTTGGCGTTTGGAATATATAATGCATAGTGACACTATAATAAATTTTCCCAAAACGGATATTTTTCTTGCTGAGTAAAGGTTATTTTCAAGAGCTGGGCACTATGAGGAATATTTACAAGTCTTCGTTCTGGTTTTCAGCATTCTTTGTTTAGGCATTAATTATATATCACCTTTATTTGTATNTATCTGAAATCTAACTATGGCTTTGGCTCGTACTCTTGGACTAGTGGTAATCTAAGTGTTGTAAGTCCCATGGCAATAGCTTTAACATAATTTTTCTTACAGAAGCATAGAGACGTATAAAACCTTTTAAGGTTGGAATAATTTTAAGTAGAGGTATAGGTAAATGTATTCTTCTTTTGTATATTTGAAAAATGAATAATAGTATAATACTATCGGACCATTTAGATCGAGTTAATATTAGATAACTAGGGTAATATTTTTCAAATTGTGCAGATGACGATGTTTGGTTACTTTGTAAAAAAATATTTCTGAAATATTTTATGACAAACAGCAGCGGCGCGCGCTTGTTATTAAGACTTACCCTAGTATTACAATTTTTTTCCCATATTGCCCCTAAATAGTTGAGCCCAAATTAACCTTATATTTATTAATATTTACAAAACACCTAATCACTCATGTTGACACTTTTGTCCTCGCTTTTTAAATTTTTCGGACGACATTGCCCTTGTTATTATCATTATTTACAGAAATACCTTTATACCCTGAACTAGCCACCACCACTAGCCACCGTCGACCGCCACCGAAGGTTGCCAAAAGTCGCCATAATGGCGTACGATCAGCTTGTTATTACGACTTACCTTGGTATTACAATTTTTTTCCCATATTGCCCCTAAATAGTTGAGCCCAAATTAACCTTATATTTATTAATATTTACAAAACACCTAATCACTCATGATGACACTTTTGTCCTCGCTTTTTAAATTTTTCGGATGACATTGCCCTTGTTATTATTATTATTTACAGAAATGCATTTATACCCTGAACTAGCCACCAACACTAGCCACCGTCGACCGCCGCCGAAGGTTGCCAAAAGTTGCCATAATGGCGTACAACCGGTCGTGCACCAGTGAGGCTTTTTCCGACCATGGATTACAGATCCATGGTTGGAAAAAGCCATATCTATGGCCGTTTCACTGCCAAGCATGTGGCCAAGGTTCAAATTGCCAAGGTTCACAATTTTTTTTGCCTATCAAACTGCCAAGGTTCACAATTTTTTTTGTTAACTAGGGAAAATTATGCCATAGTTCTAGGTAAATCATGGGTTAAGGCTATAGACAATCCTCGTCCTTATCATTGGACTGCCCATTAAACAACTTCTTGGCGACAAGTTTCAGTCAAGAGTTCTTTTTCCTTGAAATGGTGTATGGTGATAACAATAAGCAAATATGTTGATCAGAATATACATGGACCTCAGAGAGAGGCTATTGGTTTGGTCTTACCAGCCTCGTAAATTAAACCCAATTTCACCCTTCATCTTTTGTGTGGACTTCTTTTTGGGTTGGGGACTATAAGATTGTAATGGATTCATTAGCTGTAAGCTGTTCACAACAATTTGGCGTTTGGAATATATAAGGCATAGTGACACTATAATAAATTTTCCCAAAACGGATATTTTTCTTGCTGAGTAATGGTTATTTTCAACAGCTGGGCACTATGAGGAATATTTACAAGTCTTCCTTCTGGTTTTCAGCATTCTTTGTTTAGGCATTAATTATATATCACCTTTATTTGCATGACATTATACTATAGATGTTAATAGCCAGAAAAGTATCTCTCTCCAAAACAGTAGAATCTGTATAGCATTTTGGTGTATGGCTGGCTATAATATGTAGCGATAGAGTAAACCAATTTCCAAAATGGAACAGCCCACGGTTTTGACAATTTGAAGGGGTTTGTGTTTGTTGTTCTTTTGCAGTTGGATATTCTATCATCCCTTGTCTTATATATATGTATACATTATAACGTATTCATCTAAAAGAATAAAGAGGTTTACATTTATGTCAATTGCATGAAAGATACAGTTAGTAAAGAAGAACATGAAGACAGATGAGTTGAAAAAGAGAGGAGGTGCCTTGATACGTCGGATAAGTAGCGATTTATATATATAGTGACTACATAATCCATATAATGCATGGAATTTGCTAGTTGCTCGCAACACTCGACGTAGATGTTGGACCAAACCTATTATCTCAATTTAGCATTTTAATTATTATGTCATTGCTCATAATATTAAAAAAAAAAAAAAAAAATCCACAAAATGCATCCAGTAGTATGTAATCTTTTGCATCGAGGACTATATAATAATGGCTTAAATAACACTTTTCTATCCACAGACTTTTAAAATACTATTTTATTATCTAAATTTATATTCAGGCGACAAAAAGTGAGTAAACTCAGTCCAGACTGTTGTGGTTTTTGAAAAGAGGAGGGCGACAAGTCTTTTAGTGGTAGAATGTTAGATTTTGGTAGTTAGGATTAATCGGAATTTGAATTGGAAGAGATAGCTGGACAAACCCTAATCACTTAATTACTAGTGATTGAGGGGATCAATGGGAGTAAGGTGTGAGAGGTTTTAGTGAGTGATAATTGGGAAAGAGAATGCTAGTGGTGAGAGGTCGCAACGATATCGAAATCAGAAACAAAATATAAATTTGGATAATAAAATGATATTTTAAAAGTCTGTAGGTGGAAAAGTATCATTAAGTCATTGTTTGGGTGGAAAAAAGTCGTTTACTATATATATATATATATATATATATATATAATGGAAAGAATATAACATAGTGGTCTATTGTTGGGGGTGAGATTAGCTAATATTATATGTAAAGTGTTAGAGACATATCATATATAATATCTGGGGACTTGGGATAAGGACCTAAGCAATTAATTTGACATTATATAAACAATTGCACATAGGGTCAAAGCAAAATCTCTAGTTCACGCCTTGGATTCGAGCTGTTGTCGTTTCTATTCCATCATCTTCCACCCAAAAGCTCAAGCTTTAGAAGTTATATAAAAGTGCTTCCAAATAGCTACTTTGACCTTGTACTGTAGTTAAAATTCAACGTTACATGGATGATGGGATAGGATTTTTTTTCTTTTACAAACATTATCCTGAATTGATTTCTCTTTAAAGTTGACATGTTTTACTCCTATTGCCATGTTTTGCTCTCACTTTTGATGGTAGACCCTCTTAACTCTATCGACACAATAGCAATTGGATTGGACCAATCAGAGTCACACTTCACGACAGTTGTTTTTTTATTAATAATTTGAAAAACTTTTTAATTTGTTTTTTTATTAATAATTTGAAAAACTTTTTAATTTTCTTTAAATAGAAGTCCCATTGCCAAATGTAATTATATAATGATAATAATCCAAGCTCAGGCTTTTTTTTTTTTTTTTAAGGTATCGAGACCCATGTTAAAGACTGTCTAATCCCCAGGGTAACGGAATACCCTACAAGATCATACTTGTTTTTTGACATCCTCTACAACAGGATCATAATATAATTTACATACACTTAATTTTAAAGGTAAAAGACCACAAATATCGGTGATTGATTCCTTCTCCAATCATGAGTTTGGACCAAGTTATCTCTTTATCCTCTTGGTGTTTGTATCAATCTCTTGATTATTCAAACCATATTTAAAAATTGAAATCTAAAACAGTAATATCCCATTATAATTGTGTGCAATCCACACAAAACTCTTTATTTTATTAAATAGATGTTTAATCAATAACCCATACATATTTTCTGAATAATTATTTTATAACTGTACCTAACTTAACGCTTTAAGGATGGTAAATTGGTAATGAGTGTAGTAGTCCAACACATGAGAAGTTATGTAATCTTAGAATTAATACTATGTAATATACATTGACCTTCACATTTTTAACTAACTTTGAAAAGACACTTGGCGGTACCAACTACTTCTGGGTGACTGAATGATTCGATAGTGACTCTTGGGTATATTACTCAAGAGAGCTCTTATCCAACCGATAGTTTCAAAGTTTCGAAAGATTAGTTAAGGTGCACATAAGTTGTCCTGAACTCCTCGGTCATACTACCCCTGGTCAAAAAAAAAAAAAAAATTAGCCATACCCTACTTGATAAAAGGGGGACCGTTTTGAATTTTTTGAATTGTCAAGATATACTTTACGCAAGTATAAATACTCATCATCAGAACTACAAGATATATAATTACCAACCATGAACAATATCAATATCTTTCTATTCGGTCTTTTTCTTCTTCCTCTATTAGCCTCTTGTGAAGAAAAAAACGTAAGTCTTTTGCAGTCTCGTTTTTTTTTTTTTGGGTTGCTTTTAGTCAAAGAAGTTTTTGATGAATGTGTATATGAATATATACTTAATATGGTTAATTTGAATGATGACAGGTCTACATAGTTCAGTTTCGTGGACAAAATGGAAAAAAAGCATTGCATGAGATAGAAGACACCCACCATTCATATTTGCTCTCTGTGAAAAACAATGAGGAAGAAGCTAAGGCTTCTCGTCTTTACAGTTACCAATACAGCATCAATGGCTTCGCCGCAGTGCTCACTCCTGATGAAGCCTCCAAACTTTCAGGTAAGTTGGAATCAAATTAATCTCTTAATTTGTTTTACTTTCTCTTTGTTGTGACACTCACAGCAAACAATTGATATGTATATGATTATTTGACAGAATTGGAAGAAGTTGTATCAGTGTATAAAAGCGAACCAGGATTGTACACATTACAGACAACAAGATCATGGGAATTTGTAGGCTTAAACGAGGGGGGAGAAGGATTAAAAGAGGGAGAAGAAGGAGGAAGAGGAAGACATAACTACAAGATGGGAGAAGGCCTCTTATCAAAAGCCAAATACGGACAAGAAGTAATAGTTGGCGTCTTGGATAGTGGTAAAAACTATAAACTAAGTTGAATTTGTTTGCATATGTTCTGTTTTACATGTGACTTTCTCTTATCTTCTTTGCAATTTTCTAGAAAAAACTTGCTCCGATTTCTGTATTTGATGATGTTTTTTTAAGAAATATGATTACACGTGAAAGTGAGTTTGGTTATTATTATTATAATTAGGTATATGGCCAGAATCAGAGAGCTTTAATGACGAAGGAATGGGACCTGTTCCAAAATCATGGAAGGGAATCTGCCAAACTGGGGTTGCTTTTGACTCTTCTCACTGCAACGGGTGAGTGTTTCAATTTCTTTCTCCTTTGTCTTCTTTTATTTTATTTACTTTACTGCAATAAATAAAAGATCTGCATGTGAATATGTGAGGGGATCAAACCTATTATTTCAGAAGGATCTTCGGATTAAAGAAATCAATGGAACAAGAAACAAGTTATTTTATGTCTTTATTTATCGTCAGTCTTTGATTTAAAATGTGCTGACAGAGGAAGTGCCATTGATAGAATAAAGAAAGTGATATCTCCCTTGCTTTTGAAGGGACCATTACTTATGGAATCAAATATGTTCTCATTTCATTGGTAAACGTGTTAAGCATATAGTCTAAAAGTGAATAGGGAAGATAATTTGACCCGTAAATCCAAGAATACTAGTATCTAATTGGAAGGTTTGGTAATGGTTGGAGATGAGTTTGGTATAACCCAAAGGGTTGGTCTAGTGGTCAAAAAAGTTTATTTATTTAATTGATTTTCTGGATTTGAATCTTACAGTCACCTACCACATTTGTAGCTTTCCTTGGAATACTAGACTTGTAAGGTATTTAATTATCTATGGGGATTAGTAGAGGTACGTGCAAATTAGTTCGAACACCGTAATCATATATTAAAAAAAAAAAAAGGACAAACTTATCCAAAAAAAAAAAAAAAAGTAGATGAGTTTGTTACAAACCCATAGAGTTTGGTACAAACCCATAATAATGTGTTTAGAGTTTAGATAATAATTAGGAAAAAGTATGATATTTTTGGGTCTACATGTACACTAAACCTTAATCATTGTCATCCCTTTTTGACTAAATTCCTTTGCTAAAGTTTGGGAATCTTTACCTCTCAACCAAGAAAAAGAAATTGTAATATCTACTGAATTTATTAAACTTTTAGATTGTGGACTTGACCATCAGGTCCTTTTTGTTGGCCATTTCCAAAGCGGCCATTTCCAAAGCGCCAAAGTGGGTATTTTCAGTGACAGCATGGATCCTTTTGGATTCTTATAATAATTTTGTATAATAAAAAAGACGACTTTATCAGTATTATACAAAGTATCTGACCTTCCATTATTATTCTTGGCTTCTTTTTCACCTATTGTAATTGTCTATTACTTGGATGCCCCCATCCCCGTGCATTTGCTGTGTTAAATCACTGTGTCCCTGTCTGTCTCCTTCCTTTTTCAATTATTGCTGCAATTTGCAATAAACAGGGAAAATGCTGNTTGCTGCTTTGCTGCCATGTTTGTTGCTGTTTTCCTGCTGTTTTGCTGCTGGATTTTCTGTTGTTTTGCTGTTAATTTGTAATAAGTTTTCAACATGCATCGTGTCGAGGCATACCTGTCAATGTGGGCAAGAACTTGGGAGACAATCCCAACTTACTCTACTCAGAAAAAGGTAACAGGTTTACTACATTGGGTTTGTAGCGTCCAGGCCACAATCAGTGAAAATTAATGATGAAATCATTGAAGGTTGCATGTCTATTTGCAACGACGAGAGTCGTGTTACATCCAATAGATTTTCTGGTGCTGATGGTTATGGAATCACCTGTTGCCAGGCTGTAATTCCTTATGGACTAAAGAACTTCACATTGAGTGTCAGTGGGACAAAGAAAGGTGTTTGTGAAACGTGCAAGTATGCCTTCCTGGTAGACAAAGATTGGTTTCTCTTAACACATCATTTTCATACCCTTTTTATTCTATGCCTTAGGACCTCGTTCCTGTGGTGCTTGATTGGAAGTTTTCATCAAATGAGACGTGCAAAATTTGTGGCCCAAATGCCATTTGTTCAACGAATCAAAGCTTTATTTCCTGCTCTTGTGCCAAAGGCTTTGAGGGGAAACCGTATCTTCGTCAAAGATGCACAGGTAAATTAAAATTTGTAACACCTAGTGTAGACCGTTTTAGATTAACCCAATTACTTTGAAATTGTTTAACTTGTCATTGTTTTATAAATGTTGATCAATGTGCAGAACTAGGCCTGAATGATTGTGTCAAAAACTGCATCAACACAGAAGTAAACAACATGTGTTCTTGCCCTTCAGGATTAAACATTCTTGAAGGTTCTTCGGCGGATTTGAAAGAAGAATAAAATTGAAGAGGAAAATAAGAGAGAGAGAAATTAGTTAAGCTGGAAAGAATGAGACTTTTGTCTTATTCATTAGTCTTTTCCCTTGAACGTTTACATTACACGGGAATGTTTATATAAGCAATAGTTTATATAGAAACGCACTGTATTGGNTTTAATTTTGATTGTAAGTCTGCTGCAGAGTAGGTGTAACTGCAGTGCAAACCATGTTTTATATTCAGTTTTTTGTTCAATGAAAGATAATTCCCGTTTGTAACTTTTTTTCAGTGTGTGTGCCATCATAACAGCAGTTTTTCCTTAGAATTCTCCAGCTCCAAAACCTTCATTAGTTGGCCGGTGGTATTTGGCGGCCTACCAAGCATGATAGAATGACAGTGAATGAAGGTTCTTCGGTACTTGACCTCAAGGGTGACAATTACTTCTCTTGTGCTGTTTCAAGAAAGCGATCGCATGCAAGATATTTGCTTGGATCGTCTAATGACGTCGTCTTACTTTTAAAGGAGCTGGCAGAGTGTTTACTAACCAGGTGAATGCAGAAGATTTGAGCACCGTAGTGATTGTGTAGCAGTTGCAAGATTGTTCGCAAACAACATACAAAATTTTTGTTCCCAGTCCACTATTTTACACACACCAATCTGTTCTCCAAAATAAGCTGTGAGCCTCTCTTTTTGGATGTGTTTAAAGCATTGGCATCAATTGTAAGTATTGCATATTACATTCATATTTGGAGGGGAAAAGAAAATAAGAAAAAGACTATTTCATTTTACTAACTGTTGCAAATTGGTGTTTTCTCTTCCTTGTTGCCAAATTGGGTTTCAAGCTAGGTCTATGTATACAAAATATGTAGTTGTCCTATAATTGACATATTATTCATGTTCATTTAACTACGTTGACCCTGTACTGTAGGTAAAATTCAACGTTGCATAGATGATGGGATAGGATTCTTTTCTTTTACAAACATTATCCTGAAATGATTTCTCTTTAAAGTTGACATGTTTTACTCCTATTGCCATGTTTTGCTCTCACTTTTGATGGTAGACTCTCTTAACTCTATCCACACAATAGCAACTGGATTAGACCAATCAGAGGGGCACTTCACGACAATTGTTTTTTTTACTAATAATTTGAAAAACTTTTTTAATTTTCTTTAAATAGAAATCCCATTGCCAAATTTAATTTTATAATGATAATAATCCAAGCTCAAACATTTTTTTTTTTTTTATGGTATCGAGACTCACCTTGGAGACTGTCTAATCCTTAGGGCTAGATCTGTGGCACTACCAACATCATGACCAGATTTGTGGCACTGCCAGTGGCCACCAGCAATAGTGGCTGGCTGCCGGCAATGGCTTGGGGTGAGTAGGGGTGTTTTTGTTAAGTTTAAAACATTTTTGGTTGCTAGGGTGTTTTTGCTAATCTAAAAAGTTGGGGGTTAAAAAAATTATAATAAAAATACTGTTATATTAATATTTAAAAAGAAGGGAAATTTAGTAATATATATAACATGTCCACCCATTTATCCTTCCAACCAAACATATTATTTACCAATATATTCGAACCAACCAAACACATTTTCTAAACATTCTCAGTAATCTTCAAGGTGATCTTTTATTCTGTTAATATAATATCCCCATATAATAAAATATTATATGATCCAAACATCCCTTATATGTATAAATTTTTATACAAACTAATATATTATAGTATTTAGTAGATTATTTAAAACTAGAAATATATAAAATATAATGTGACAATCATACACAATGAATTATATCATGAGTTTATATACGTAACAATATTCTTACAAAAATCTATTCAATCTTTTGTTGGTTTTTAAAGAACTTGAAGGTTCTTTAGCGGATTTGAAAGCCGTATAAACTTGAATGAAGAAAAGTAAGAGAGAAAGAGAAAAGTAGTTAGGCTGGAAAGAATGAGACTTTTGTCTTATTCATTAATCTTTTTTTTTTTTTTTTTTTTTTTTTTTTTTTTGAACTTTACAACATTAGACGGTAATGTTTATATAAGCCACAATACATACAGAAACGCACCATATTTGGTCAAGTTTCTGTTTCTTACATTTTAGTCCCTTTGCCTAATATTTCCCCTTAAACAAAGCATATTTGCTTTTAGTCTTTGCCTAATATTCCCCCTTAAACAAAACATATTTGCTTTCAGTCTTTGCCTAATATTTCCCCTTAAACAAAGCTTCATATATGTATATCTCAACTGAATGTTCATTGACATATCTGCAAACTTCAACTATCTATACCATTGCCATAGCTAAGGAGCTCTGCTTCACAATTAGGATTAGTACTTCATACTGCTTTATATATAGCACCTATACACACTTTCAAAGCTGCAAACTTCACCTAATCAATCACTACTCAACAGGTCAATCTACCAGACATAGCTCAAATCAGTATAAACTTCCAAAACTGCAAACTTCACATGATCAATTAATACTCAACAGGTCAATATCAGTACACACTTCCAAAGATCAGAAAAAAATCAATACTCAGCAGGTCAATCTTCCAGGCATAGCTATCATCAATACAAAATCTAAATTCTACTCAGCAGGTCAATCTTCCAGGCATAGCTATCATCAATACAAAATCAAAATCAAAATTCAGCAGGTCAACTTTTTAGACATAGCTCACATCAGTACACACTTCCAAAGATCAGAACAAAATCAATACTCAGCAGGTCAATCTTCCAGGCACAGCAATCATCAATACAAAACCAACACTCAGTACACACTTCCAGAGTTCAAAATTCAGAATTCATAATTGAAGTTCCTCTCTGCACAGTTTACTCAAACATAGTCCAAAGAAATCAGTACTCAATACACACTCCCAAAGTTCAAAATTCAGACTCAGATAAAAAGGATGTAACAGTTAGCTTGTCCTTCAAATAACTGAACTGATTTGCCGACAGAG